GTGAGAACAGTGTAGTGGACTTCACCGCCACTGACCCACATTTATTAGGGTGTGACGCGAACTTGTGGACAGGTAACGAAAACAATACAGTTGAGGAATATTCCTGTGTTTTACTGTCCAGCGTAAGTCATCTCCTGCCTTTTATTTACAGAGTACCGAGCTGCTGCTTTGCCAGGTGGATTTCTGGCTGCGGGCAAAGGACCCGACACATCAGAGTGTTTTAATTTGTTTTATACTGGTGTAATCTGACAGACTGTGACTGCTGCGGCTGTCGATTTTGTTTGTTTCTTGTTTTATTTTTCTGTATCAGTAGGCACCACAGAGATTGATTCTTTTAGTGTGTGTGTGTGTGTGTGTGTGTGTGTGTGTGTGTGTGTGTGTGTGTGTACCTCAACCAAGTGGATGAATGAAAGAGTCTGAGAGCAGTGGGAAGGAACAACCTCCTCTAATGTTCCCTCAGACAGCCAGGTTGAGGGAACCTGTTGCCCAAAGAGCTCTTCAGATTGCCCAGTGTGTCGTGGAGGGGGTGGGACTCATTGTCCATGATTGCCAGGATTCTGTCACTGATCACCTCCTCCAGGGTAGTGAGCTTCATGCCAACAACAGACTGCCTTCTTGATGAGTTTGTTCAGTCTTTTTGCGTCCTTTGCTTTGATGCCTGCACCCCAGCAGGCCACAGCAAAGACGATGGTGCTCACAACAACAGACAGATATAACATACAGAGCAGCCTGCTGCATACATTGAAGGATCTGAGCCTTCATAGAAACTAAAGCCGACTCAAACACTTTTTGTAGGCAGCATCCGTTTTGGCAGACCACTCCATCTTGTGATCCAGTTGAGCTCCCAGATATTTGTATGATGCGATTATTTCGACATCAGTCCTACCAATGCAGACAGGGGAGGGTTGGGATCTGTTTCTGCTGAAGTCCACCACCAGCTCCTTTGTTTAGGCCAAATTCAGCTGCGGGCGATTCACCTCACAAAGCGATCAGTCCTCTGTACTCTTCCCATCCCATCCTCACACTTCCAATAATGGCCGTGTCATCAGAGAATTTCTGGAGGAGACAAGTTTCTGTGATGTGCTTGAACTGTATAGATGGTGAAGAGGAAAGGGGACAGCACAGTTCCCTGGGTGTTGCTGTTCCGACAGATTGTATTTGGTCTTAGGTGGTGGTGGTGGGGTATATTTCATAAAGCACAAGCTTAAACAGGCCCTTTTTCTGCGCCACTGAGAAGTCAACTGCCTTCCACTGGTCACGTGACACCTTCAGTAACAGACATCAGCACGATTTAACCTGGTGCTGAGTGGCTTTTTGAGTTTCATCAGTTCAAAAAACACATGACTGATTATTCTGACTACTTTATATTTATCGATTCTGTGACACTTAAGCTAATGTCTTGTTAAAGTTGGCAGAGATTATTTTGAAGCAGGGGTGATGGGCGTCTCCTTTAATGAGCACGCGATCACTGAACTATAAAATGCAAACAGCCCAAACACCCATTAAAGAAACAGGTTAGCTTCTAAAGTGCTCTAAAGTTGTCTAATGTAAGTTTCAGGAAATAACATATCTGTAATCCACAGATTTATCTGAACTGTATCAGGTGTGTGGCCAACATGACACATGAGAACTGCGTAAAAACAAAAAAATCAAGAAACTTTCATTTTGATGTGTTAATTACAAAGCGCCATGTGACTGACGTTTCCTTTCCTGTCAGAATAAGAGCACACATTTTTGTGGGAACTGGTTCTACTGGAGGTGCATCAATGAAACATCCATTGAGTGTTTTGGGTTTGAGTTTTTTGTGATTTTTTTGTAATTTTGTACTTAAATTTCTGCTGCAAGAATTTTTGCGATAGACACTGCTATACTAATGTCTGAATATACAAATATTCTCCTAATTTTGCTGTTGATTTCCTGGTAGGCATAAACCAATAAAAAACTTTTACAAATAATTTAATAAGAAATTATAATAAGTAATTAAAACATAAATACCAATATGACAAATGCATTCTGTGACTGAAAGCAGATCGTCTTCATAAATACACATGTGTCTGAGAAAAGAAAAAACTAGGTTTCTCAGCTTCTACTTCATGTCATTATCCAGGAATGGGAGGGGCAGACTTAACACATCAATAAAGAGGACCAGCTCTTCCCTGGACAGTACCATACGAGGAGGTGACCTGCTCTACTGAGCTACAGCCACTCCAATGGACAACAGCTTGGCTAACAGGTTTTCTCTTATGAGCCTGCAGAGGCCCTGAGCAGCTCTGTTAGCAGCACTGTTAACAGAGGTGTAGGACGGAGGTCTATTCCAGGTCCTTGATCAGCAGCCAGAATGTACAATAGGCACACATGTAACAGACACACGCGAAATTATATGTGGCTGTTTTATTTGTACGCAATTTATTTATTTATTTCCATTTTCTTCTAATATATTTCTAATTCACTTTTCCTCGCTGACGTTTGTGCAGCTGCGACATGTCAGCTTCCACAGTGGAGGGATATTAAGTCTGTGACTGAAGAACTCTTCGATTTCTAAATCGCAAACGTCAACAGGTCTGAAGTAAGCGAGGCTTTGCAGCTCTTTAGAAGTGTACTCGTCTTGGGACATTATAAAGCTTTGTGAATTTCTTAGATATTTTCCCACTAACACTGCAAACTTGAAAGGAACCTGAGAATACAAAATTTCCTCCTCCGGGTAACAGTATTTTCAATAAATAAATAAAAAAAACAAGAAATTCGATAACAGAATAACAACAGAAGAGGAATATTTAAAACAATTTTACCTATTTTAACAGGTTTAAATATGCGACTGATGTTGAGGTTATGATTTTCCCTACATGTCGATCTTGCTCTTTTCTTTCATAAGCCAATATATTATGTTTTCTATGAAGCAGATGAATAAACAAGAAATCATATTTAGACCCGCTACAGTGCAGAAGCTTGTGGAATTTTGTGACAACATTTAAACACAGTGACTGCCAATCCGCAGTTTTTGACGATGGAGGTGGAAACAAATGTGAAAACCCTGTCTGCACACTTCTTTGCTTCTTGACTTTTCTTTCCAAGTTCCTTAGACTTTGCTTCTCCAAACACACACAGAGAGACAGACTGGCTGTCCCCGCCCCTCAGTCAGATCATAGATATAAAACAAGTTCAACCCATGAGACTGCTGGTTTTGTCAGACAATGGCGCAGAAACAGAAATAAGTATATTTCTGTGAAGCTCTGTTCACAATTCACAAATTATTGTTGATCTTAAACATGGGTTTAATAAAAAAAAAACTAGTGTTCTGCACTAGAGGGTTAATTATTCTGAGAACTACACATTAACCTCCATTATTTTTTCCCCAAAATCTATATTAGAAATAAAATTTTATATTTTTGACGTTTGTTTTAATCGTCTACTTTTGGCACAAATGCGCACTAAAGTTGGAAAAGGTGGCAAATAAATATTACTGACGACCTCTCCAGGGTCCAGAGTGAAAACTGGTGCATGGATTAATAACAAGGAAAGATAAGTGATGTTTTTTAAATAACATTATTTTATTTATTAAACGGATTTTGAAAAGAAAAACAGACAAACAAAGATATAAGGCGAACTGCTCTCTCCATGTAAACACAGGCGCTGACTGCCTCTGTCACAAACTGCTGTGTCTGCGATCCTCATCCTGGATGATCGCCGTTATGACTCTTCTGAAGAATATGACAGCAAGTCTCTGTGTCCCGCTGTACAGCATGGCAACCAGCCCGTCAGTCTGATCATAGTAGAGATGGAAGTGAAACGACCGCAGCTGCAAGATACACAGCTGGGCCCGAGCAGCTCGTTGACCGTCTTTGTCCATTTAGGGCTTCAAAGCTGACAGAAGGAGAACAAATCACAGATGAGTTAAAGATCATAAAAACTCTCTTCATCCCAAACAATGAACGCTCGTCAGTTTTTAATAATTCAAAAGACTTTGACAAGTTCACAAGTATGAAAAGACCGAGAGCCCGAGGAGTAACGTTTGTCCGTGTCCTAGTCCCAGTCTAATGATCAGTTCTCTCTCTTAAACTAACAACCCTGAAATAACTTCCAAGAAAACATCCCACCTTCAAAAGCGCACACAGATGCACTGCAAGTAAAAAACATTAAAGTGAACTTCAAAAAACAGAAACAGCACAAGTTCGCCAAAAGTAAGAACAATGAACTAAATTTTGAACCAATGAAACAATTTGGTTCATTAATAAATAACTAAAAAA